TGTCCCTTTTCCTCTGCTGCTATCCTGAGCTGGAAAATAGCTACCCAGCTTCCGCACCTGAGAAGACGAGCCCCCAGAGAGCAGAAGGCAATGACTTGGCTTCCTCCCCAGGGCGGCTGGGAGGTGAGGTCACGGAGAAGGCAAAAGAAAGGCCTTGCAGAAGGAATCCTCCGGGGGTCGCAGACACCCTGTGCCTCACCCTGTGCTGCCAGCATCACACGGGGGGGGGGGGGGGGCGCGGAGGCCCCAGGCATTTCCTGGCTCCAGGCCAAGCTGAGAAAGGGGTGCGGGGTGGGAGCAGGGAAGGCCAAAGAGGCCACGTCCAAAGGAATAGGGAGGGAGGAAGTGGGACAAGAGAAGAGCAACTGCAGCCCAGCAGGGAAAGATGGGAACAGAGGAGAGGGACGGGGAGCAAGGGTGCAAGAAAAACCAGAGACCGGAAAGCAGAGGGAGCAGAGAGGCGGGAAACAAACCCTGGATTCCTGGAGAGACTCAAAGGAGAGGGAAAGATGCGCTTCAAAGGTCCCCGCTCGTGGGGGAGCGGCCAGAAAGGAGGGGAAGGTAGGCGACGGCCGCTCACCTCATAGACTTCAGGAGCTCCCTGGGCCGCGGGCAGGTGCAGGGCTCCAGGGAAGTCCAGCCTCTCCCTCTCCCGCGGGTCTCCCGCGGGTCTCCCAGGGCCAGCGCAACCCACCCCGAGCCACCTCACCTGCCTCCCGTCAAAAGTAACAGGTGCAACCTCCACGGTGGAGTTTCCTCTCTCGGTCTTTCTAACTGGCCTCCTGGGGCTTCTGGGCCAACAAAATGACATTTGGGTTTGGGTCCTAAGGGACTTCTGAGATTCTCCAAAGCAGCACGCGGCATCCCTGCTCATGTCCCCCCCAAGGCCCAGACACTCTGGATCGATGCCCGGGGACAGTTTCTCCGACATTCCCAGATTCACCAGTGGCAGCCCCTGGGCTCCCCGCGCCCACCAGGGCCTAGAGCTGCAGCCGCCCTCTCCCCTGGGGTCTGACCACCGCGGAAAGGGGTGACAGGGGCAAGTCCTTCCTTTTTCCTCCGACCTCAGTGCACATCCTTTGCAGGTAGCCCCCCTCAGCCTTTGGCTCTCCAGGCGCAGACACCCGCCCCGCCCCTCCAGACGGCGCCCGGTCAACGGGACTCCCCAGAGTGGTGGCCCAGACACCAGGCCTCAAATCTGTTGGGCAGTCGACAGCCCTGCCTCTTGGTCTTTATCGGTCTCCCCTCCGAGCCTCTCATTCCCTCCCCACCCCCACCCCCCGCCTCCCAGGGAGCAAGCTCTCCAGGGCGGAAGACACTCTAGACTTTATCATTTAAGACTCGCTCTCCTACGCGAGGCATCCAGTGAGGAACTGAGACTCGGAGACACTCCGTGGCTCCAAGACGTGGGAACACGAAGTCGGAGTCCACACACAGGGCCACGCACATCCTCTCGTCCACGCATGGGACGGGCTCAGGTGCCCGGGTGCGCGCAGGCCTCCCCTACACACTTCCCGTCACTTGTGCCATTCATAAGCCTGAACACAGAGATGTCGTCACGGAGCTCCGAGGCCGCAAGCTGTCCCCCGCCCGCACGCCGACCTTCACCCAGACACGTATGTGTACGTGCCAGGCATCCGCGGCTTCATCCTGACGCGTGTCGTGCACACGTCCACATAACGGCTGCGTGTCCCGTCTGTAACTCCTTCAGCTCCAGGCTCCGGCCTGAGTCCTCACCCCCCCACCCCCCCCCCCCCACCCCCCGTGCCTTTTGAACATCAGCCTCTCAGAAGGCAACACGGCCTCCTTTTCTTCCATTTCCCCCCCATCTCCTGCGACCCGCCCCCCTCCGCCCACGAACAGGAGCACGCGCACCGCAGAATCAGAGCCACACCTGGGCTCGGCGTCACAGACACGGGTGACCGTGAAGTCATTTGCTCACCCCTTTGTGAGAAACGGCGTTTCTCGAGTGCCTGTTCCGTTTCAGGTTCCGCACTAGACTCGGTTAAAACAAAGACGAGCCAGAATAACCCCCAGCTGGGCCCTTGCTCCCGCTCAGCTGTAATGACCTTGAGCCACAGCTTGGGACAAGTGGCCGAGCCCTCGGGAGTCCTCAGTACCATGTGAGGAGAGGAGGAGAGGAAGGGACTGCGTGCACACCATCCCAAAGGAAAAGGGAGTCCTGTCTGTAAAATTCCAGGAGGAACCGGGGCAGGGGGAAGAAAGTGATGCTTGTGGCATCCTGGGAGAAAGGATTCCCGCGCGTGTGAAGCCCCCGGCCCACTCCGCCAAAGGAAAAGATTAGGCAGGAATGATAGAGGGAGAGTTTTACCGCTTGGATGGATGTAGCAAAGAGGAACACGGTGCCTTGTCCACTCTCTACTCCACTTGCCGGATCTGAACCAGACCATAGAGCCCACAGGAGCGGGGACGGGGCCTACGAGGCCCACCGGCACAGCCCAGCCTCCAGCTCACCGCCTGACCCTCAGGAGGCACCCAGCGAATAGATGTTGAGTGAATGAATGAGCTAAGGACGGCGAGCCAATCTCTGTTTGCAGATTTTCTTGATTCACAGAAGACACAGAAAGCCCCTTGCTACGGAGCCTCCCCTACGCCCCTCAAAGCCCTCTGGTCTCAGAGCAGCGTAGGCAGCCCGGTTAAATCCTTCATCTGAGGGTTCGAAATGCCCGTTCTGCTCACCCCATCACCTCCAGACTCCCTAGCCCAGCCTCTCTCACGCCCCCACTTACGAGTCTGCTCAGGTAGGAAGGTTTTCCCGCTAGGTAGAGGCGACATCCCATAGCTAGAGACTCCTCAGCTCATATGCTCCAGATTCTGAATTAATCTTGGGCCGAGTCCTACTGTGGGAAACAGGATTCCTGGATGCCCTTCCCAAGAAGAAACTGCCCTACAAAATCATATTAATATGGGCTTTTTAACCAGAGGCAAAAGCACCGGACCCAGGCTCCCTGAAGACGAGCTAGATTAGATGTCCCAGATTAGAGATTAAAAGGATTGTTGTGGGGGGCGGGGAGATAGGAGATGTCGTGTAGGGGAATCGAGGCCTTTATGTGCACGTCTTCATTCTACTCAGTACCCAGCCATGAGATAATGGCATCCGTCCCCCTATCCCCTCACTAAGGCCTCCCCAATATTCAAACGGCCCAATCCAGTAATCCATCAACTAGGGATCTACCCTGATATCAAAATCTTTGTCTAGTTTGGGAAAGTGAGATTGAGAATCTATTCCTGCGGATTAATAACATGGAAATGAGACTTCTCTGCGTGAGTTATTACATGCAGCCAGCACTTAAGGACCAGACAGCTAAAGTAAGGGAAGGCCGGAACAATTCAGTCCGTAAACCTAGTGACCCCTGTCCAGCCCCATCTCCTATAAGGACATCTCAGCTAACGCACTGCGTAGGGGCAGCTGCCTCTACTCCCTTCTTTTTCCCTGGGTTTCAACGTCTCCTCTGGGGATCCTCTTCTCTCGCCATTGAGCGCTTCTCATACTGAAGGAAGAAATGGGAATTTGCTTCCAGGAGAGACTTTTGGTTAGAAAGGTATGGGAGGCAGTGAAACAGGCACAAACCTGCCCTTGCAGGGCCCACTCATTACCTGGAATGGAGGCAAGGAAAGGATAGGCCGGGGGCCGGGGGCCGGGGGCCGGGGGTGGGGGGCGCACCCCTGGGACACCTTGAATTCTCTCATTTATAATCCCCGAGCTCCCTTCTTTGCCTTTCCACCACTTCCTTACCTGTCACCCGCCCCAAGCTTCGTTACCATTAACAGAGCATCGTTTTCCCCTCAAGAATCGCTCAGTGCTCCTCCCAACAAAAATCAATTCAATCCGGCTTTCCATTTCTTCACCCCAGAACTCATTCCAAGGCTGCGCCTCACAGAGCCCGGCAAATTGCATTGGCTGGAGGCAGCAAAGGACAGGAACCGAGAAGCACAATTTGGGTGCTGAGCCGTGTTGCCCACTGGGGCCCGGTCGTCCCTGAGGCCTCGCTAAGCAGACCCACCCGCCCAATGGCCGGGCGTCATCTTATTAGCACGGGCGAAGCATTTTAAAAACAAAACAGTCGTGAGCATCTATGCGTCGTCTCCTGCCACCTGTCTCCCTCCACCGGGACCCAGACACGGAGAGCTTCAAGGCTCACTCTTCAGGGTGACGGGGAGGAACTGGGTTTCGGGGCTATGGTTCCTGCAGTGCCTCCCTGAACCCCTGCAGCCTCTTTCCCGGGACTGCTGGGAGTCGCATCAGGGGGACGGGCACCTTCCCTCCTTGTCTGATTAAGAATCCACAGACTGCGGAGGTTCCTGGATGGCGGCTCCCCGGGAGATGAACGTGCTGCATGGGTTGACTCTGACCCACTCGTCTCCCTCTCTGGGGAACAGAAAGAAAAGTTGCTTCCGTCCCCCGGGGCCGGGAGTATGGGGTACCTGAGTCCCTCGGTGGCCTGTTTACCCGACATCTGCCCGCCCCCCCCCCATGCCCTCCTCCTGCAACAACAAGAAAAGATGCCTAAAGGTGCTTGGAGATCCCTGGGAGACCCTACAGCCACAGAAGGGCTTTGCCGGCGCCCGGCCTCTCAGCCAAGGTCCCTTCCCAGCGCCCAGCTCCCGGGGACCTCGTCCAGATCCCAGCTGCCCACGGGTGTCCAGCCCCGGAGCAGAGCAGCTCAGGTGTGGGCGCCCCGTCCCCACCCCGTCCCCACCCCGTCCGTCCGGTGCAGGGGGCAGAAACCCCGGTGCCAGCGGACACTGGGGACCCACAGGTTGGCCCGAGCATCCCCGCGCGCTCCGCTGCAGCTGTGTGCGCCCCGCGGCCCCTCGCGCACCCGCGTGTGGTGTGCACCCGGCGTCCGCGCGGCCTTGCACACGGGTGCGTGTGAGTCGGCGGCAGCCCCGGGCCGCACAGGTGGCGGCGCCCGCGGTGACCCGCCCCCGAGTGTGCGAGGGTGTCCCCCCCCCCCCCCGTCCCCGCCGGGACTCACAGCGACCGCAGCTTGATCCACATCTTCTTGCCCGGGGCCGACTTCAGCTCCAGGGGGCACGGGCAGTCGGGCTCCAGCATCGCGGCCGCGCTGCGCGGGGACAGCTCCATGCTCGGCCTCGCCTGGGTCGGGGCAGGGCGCCGCGGCTCAGCCTCCGCCCTCTGCGCCCCCGCCCTCCCCGCCGCGGCGCCGCCAGCAGGTCGGCCCCGGCCCCGTCCCGGTCCCCGTCCCCGTCCCCGGGCCCCTGCGCTCCGCCGCGGCCCCGCTGCGGCTCCGGCCCCTGCGCGCGCTGCACCGGCTGCGGCTCGGCCCGCCCCCCGCCCCGCCTCCCCCCTCCTCTCCCTCCCCCCCTGCGGGCGATCCCCCTCCCCCGCGCCTCCCGCAGGGCCGCGGGGCTCACGCAGGAGCGGCGCCGAGGGCGGGCACGCAGGGGTGGGAGGGAGGGGGTGCGCCTGGGTGCGCCTGGGTGCGCGCCTGTCTGGGTGCGCGCGTGTGCCCGGGTGTGTGTGCGCGCGTCTCTGTGTGTGTGTCTGGGTGTGCGCGTGTCTGGGTGTCCGCGCGTCTGGGTGTCCGCGCGTCTGGGTGTCCGCGCGTCTGGGTGTCCGCGCGTCTGGGTGTGCGCGCGTGTGCCCGGGTGTGTGCGCGCGTCTCTGTGTGTGTGTCTGGGTGTGCGCGCGTCTGGGTGTGTGTGCGCCCGCGCATCCCCGCGCATCCCAGCGCATCCCCGCGCCCCCCTTGCGCCCCCGCCTCTGAGCGCAGCCCCAGGTGCGCCCGCGCCCCGGGTCCCGAACCCGCTGGCCCCGCAGGTCCCCGCCGGCCTCCCTGGGCCTCCAGCCCCCGCCCCGGCCGGCGGGACCGTCTTCCCAGCCTCGGGCTCCCCGGGGCAGGACAGCTGGGGGGGGGGGCAGGCTCCTTCCCGCTCCCGGCTCCCGCGCCGCCGCCCGCCCAGCCCCAGGGCCCCGCAGTCCGCCTTGGGCGCTAAGGGACGCGGCCGCTCAGGACCCAGCAAGGCGCGGGCGGGCGCACAGCCTCCCCCAGCGGCCCAGTCCCCCCGGGGCTCGGCCCCCAAGCGCCCCCCGGAGCCCTTACACTTGTTCTCCTGCCTCCATCACCACCTACCTCAGCCGGGTGGGGAAATCCTCTGCGAAGGGAGAGTGGAGATGCGAGAGGTGTCGGTCCCCTAGGTCCTGGTCGCACACAGGCCTCTGATCCAGAATCCCGGGATGGGACTTGCAACTTGGAGGACTGGAGGCTGGAAGGAGGGGTGGTCGGGAGAAGGTATTCACTCCATTCCAAATGTCGGGGGGAGGGTCCCCCCTTCCCAGGCAACCGGGGAGAAAGGAGCAGAGGCGAAGTGGCAGGTAAAGACGTCCAACATAAAAGAATCGCCTCTTAGGTGATCGGGTCAGGGCAGGCCTTCGGACCCCAGACCCGGGACGGCCCAGTACCCGCAGAACCCGCTCCCCGCAGAGGCCCCCACGGAGGGGACAGCAGGGCCAGCAGGAGGAGAGGCGGACAGCCTGCGGCACCTGGCCCGCGGGGCCTCTGGCGTGTGCCTCGGAGCCGCTCTCCCCTCCTCGCCCGGGAGGAGCCCCCGCCAAGACAAAGCTGCAGCTGAGACCCCGTCGGACTCCCACACACCCCAGCTCTCCAACCTGGAGCAATCACCTTCCCGAACAACTGGAAAAGAATGGGCTGGCAGCTACAAAAGAATTGCAAATGAGCATCAGCGTTAAGGAGCTGCCCAAATTAGGCAGATATTTAAACTAAGAGAGGCGGAAAAGGGGCGGGAGGTGTACCTCCAGGGGGACCTCGACGGGCCTCGTCAGCGCGGCGGCGGCAGATCCCACCCTGCTGCCCCGGGCCCCCAGCCCCTGCCCCATTTTAAGAAAAGGAAAATTCACCAAAGCAAAGCAAAGGTTATTCATGAAAGACACGTTAGAGTCCATCTAGCCCAGCCCCCTGCGTTCAACAAAGGGGAAAACCGAGCCCAGGGAAGTGATGGTCCCACAGAGGGTCAGCGCCCAGCCCGGGCCAAGCCTCCACCCTCCTCCTCCTCCCCGCGCTTTTCCATCCTGTGGCTCTCTTTCTCCTTTAGTCACCCGTCCCGGTGTTTGACCTCAACCCCATCCTTCTGGCGCTGTCATCTCCCATCTGTCTCCCCCACCTCCTCACAGATAGGAACCCCATTTGCCTGCTCCATCCATAGGCTCTAAAGACCACGGCTGTTCCCTCCCTGTCCTCTTGCCCCCACCCCCACCCCCGCTTTTCCAGGCTGCCTCTGCCAGCCTCACTCGTCTCTCTCCTTCGTGCCTTCCGAGCTGCCCCTGCCCCTTGGAGCCCCTGCCTCCTCACTCCCCGAACCCCACTAGCCTCCCAACCAGCTGGCAGTTTGATAGAGACCAAAAATGATGCTTTGGCAGCGGTGACGGATGGATGTGATGTGCCTCCCACGGGAATGCTATTTAAAGGGGCGGCCTCACCATCCTCTCCTTCCAAAGTGACAGGAGAAGAGCCTGCTCCTCAATCTCTCCGGAGCTGCAAACTCAGCTCAAGTTAACTTCTGGCTTCCTCACCCTGCAGCCTGGCCTGTGCTCCCGCTTCCTGCTCAGGTGGGAGGGAGAGTACTTGACAACTCACGGAGGTGTGGGGGCTGAGGGGGGCTCATCTTCATCTCTTTTGATGACAGGTACTTAGGAGGAGCAGGAGGCCCAGGGGGGTACGGGAGGCACAGTCTTCCCCCAACCTCGTGAGCGCATTTCAGCCATGTGCCAGCTTCTTCTCGGAGTCAAACTTTGTTGGAGAAGAACGGAGAGAGGCCTTCCTTCCCTCCTGGGCCCCGGCGCCCAGCAGCTGCTGTTCTCTCCCTCGCAGGCGGAGGCCCGCGGGTGACAGCCCCGGGGCCAGGCCTGGCTGCTCCGTGAACCACCCGGGTCGCAGGAGCTGCGTGGCACCGCCCAGAGGAAAGGGAGCTCGGCTGCCAGCTTGTCACCCCAGGCCTGGTGGGAGGGGGCGTTCCACCTCATCGCCGCACACAGCTAGTGGAGGTTCTACTGAAACCACCGCACTAATGAAACTGCTGAGGCTGGAACCTACTCCCTGCCTGCAAGACAAAACAATCGGAGTCAGACTCTCTCCCCGCACCGTTCCTCGCTTCCTTTTAAGGCGTAAATAAAACAAGCCGGGGGTGTGAGAGCAGCTGGTTGCGTCCCCAGCTGTCAGGGGTCGGAGGCCCTCCTGGTCAAGGAAGCATAGGGTCCCTACGCGTCCATGAGATGCTCATGGGTCCGTCACGGCACCCGTCCCTTCACCTCTAGACACTCACTTCTTGTTTCAGGTGGTAAAGCCATCGTGCCCTCACCTCCTCCTATGTGCTCATTCTGGAGCCTCGGGATCCTAACAGCCAAGTCTTCCCAGATGGCCGGGCGGTCTGGTCAGGTAGAAATGATCCAAGGCTTGGTATCAGACGTGGTCCCGGATCTAGATGTACTGCTAAATGTGTGACCCTCGTTAAATCATTAAACATCTCTGAATCTGTGTGCTGGCCTAAAATAGGGAGGCCTTCCCTGGCTCCCCTGCAGAATTGTCATAAAGGATGTGAGAGCGCTCGGAAAAAGCACGCATCTTAGAGAAACGTGCGTGTAATTGCAGGTCTGTAAAAAGATGCTGCTTGCAATGACTTTTTTTTTTTTTGCAATGACAACGTTTTAGAAAAAAAGAGCAGATTTCTGCTGCCAAGGGTAAGGGAAGGGGATATGGTTGCAAAAAAAAAAAAAAAAGCAACGTGAGGATCCTTGCGGTGACTGACCTGTTCTGTATCTTGACCGTGGTGGTGGCCGCTGCACAAACCGACACGTGAAAACGCTGTTACAGAACTAAATACATACACACAGAGCAAGGAGGATGAGTAAAACTGGGGAATCTGGATTAGATCATGACATGCTATTATTAGCATAATACCCTCTAGTTCCATCCATGTCTTTGCAAATGACAAGATTTCGTTTTTTGATAGCTGAATAGTATTCCATTATATATATATATATGGCATATATGGAGGTCGGCATCTCGGTAACGATAGTACATTATGGTTACGCAAGAGGTCACCTACGGGAGAAACTGGTAAAGGAATAGAAGCTCTCTCTGTGTACTTTTTTTTTTTTTTTTTGGTTGACACCATGTCTCTGTTGTTTCTTATAAGTACATGTGGATTAACTGTCTCAAAAAAAATTTTTTTTGTATTTTTTATAAGTAATCTTTATGCCCAACATGGGACCTGAACTCACAACCCTGAGATCGGTGCCCAGCCAGGCACCGTTCTCTCAATAAAAGATTTTATTTTTTAAAGATTTTATTTTTTAAAGATTTTATTTTTTAAAGATTTTATTTATTCATTCATTCATGAGAGACACAGAGAGAGAGGCAGAGACACAGGCAGAGGGAGAAGCAGGCTCCATGCAGGGAGCCCGACGTGGGACTCCATCCCGGGACTCCAGGATCGTGCCCTGGGCCAAAGGCAGATGCTAAACCGCTGAGCCACCCAGCGATCCCCTCAATAAAAATTTTAATTAAAAAAAAATGTATCAGGTCTACCCTCCCTTCCCCTGCAGCAACGTGTCTTGCGGTCCCCCGGGAGACTCCTCTCAAGGAGCTCTACAGGGACGTGGAAGAGGGTCTCCACGTCAAGGATAAGATCCCAGCGGAGAGATAAGGGCCTAGGAAGAGTTGCTAAGAGGCTCCCGAGCCCTTTCATCCTCATCAACTTTGCCCTCAGTCTCCAAAGGCCTGACCCTGAATCACTCCTCAATGTGCTGTCCTCAGCAAGGAAGCTGGATGCTCTGCTGCTTCTGCCCTAAGGACCACTCGTGGTTGAGAAAGACTGAGATATCGGTGAGGAGTACCGAGTTAAAAAAAAAAAAGTATTGACTAAGCCTGGGTCTTAAGGGAAAAAAAAAAAAAAAAAGATCAAACATGCACACAAAAGGCCAAAACAGCGGTCACACGGCTTTAAATAAACCCCCGATGGTTTTGTGGAAAACCAACAATTGCTTCCTTTTTATATCGTGGGAATGTGGTCGTGACCCTAACTAATCAGCTGGTTAATCGCGTATGCCCGTCTCAACCGCTCTCGACCTGCGACACAGGGTCTGTTGCTCCAGTTCTCCCCGGCCACGGCGGCGCAGAAGGGACGGACGGGGACGGACGGGGCCGCTGCGTCCTGCCGCCGCCGAGTTCACCAAATCCGGTTCAGTGCTATCCCGAACGCCCCAGGCACTGTGACACTCGAAATTCTAATTAGTGCAGAAAAGGGCTGAGTTGAAACAGCTTGTACTCCCTCAAGTATACCCACTCTCAGGGCCCTATAATCTAATGAGGTCTATGAAATTTAAGATCTAGGGGAGAAATCCCTGCCTGGAGCAGCAGCTGTACCCAGGATGACAAGGGGATTTGGGTTAAAGTAGTGGCTCCAGATAGGAGGCAGAGTACCCCCAAGTGATCTGGGAGGGAGACCCACTAACTCGGATCCCGTTAGTTGTCACGTGGCCTAGAATTAGCTAGACTGACCCTCTGCTCTGGGTTGTAGGGACGTCACAGGAAAAGCGGGAGGGGTTACAGCCAGGCAGATGGGAGAAGGTGCTCGTGCTCATTCCCTACAAGGCGGGGGGGGGGGGGGGGGGGGGGGGACAGGGACGGTCTCTCAAGAACACCTGTTGCCCCTGGAGGCAGCAGAGCTGGAGGCAGAGGGAGAGCCCCACAAGGAAAGGGGAGCTCCTTTGCTCCTACTTTGCAGGAGGAGCCAGCTGGAGGTTTGCTGAACACGTTCGGGAAAGGAAGAGAGATCATCGTCCTAATGAATGTGCAGGAGACAATAGCAGCTCCAGTGGGAGGATTATAAGCTCATTATGCTTTAATATGATGACGGATCATCCCTGCCCGCCAGCACCATCCTCGGAATGGTGATGAAGGTCGAGGGACCCGTGCGGGTCGCAGCTCAGGCGCCAGTCACCGCAAGAGAACAAACGTACCCGTGTGTCGCTCGTGCTTCTCGCGGCAAAACTGCACGCACGTGGCCCCAATTCCCTGACTTTTCCCGCCGACCGCCCCCCACCCGCACCCCCGGCCAGCCTGCCCCGCGTCCCCGCGTCCCTGGATTGGCCCCCGCGTGTCATCTGTTCTTCAGCTCCGGCTCCCGGGCCCATCCATCCCTCGAGGAAACGGCTAGAGCGTCACGGGGTTAGGTGGGTCCGAAGGGCCCCTCAGTGGGTACTGGCTGCCACTCGGTTCAGGTGGAAGGCCCGGGACACCTCCCGGTAGGCATTGCGAAGCAGGACGTAAGGGAAACAGGACTCCAGCATGTCCAGAGTCAGGAAGGAGGACTCCTCCACCACCTGGAAGACAGGAGGCCAAGAGATGAGAACCGCGGGCGGGCGGGCGGGTGGGCGGGCACGCCTCGGGGATGCCCTGTTCCTCCCGTCCCGTCCATGGGCCTTGAGGCCCTCGGAGCTGCAAGTGGACACGGTTCCCAATCACACTCCCCGCTTGTCCCCTCACTCGAGGAGAGCAAGGCGGCCCCTTCGGCTCCGTTCTAACGGCCCCGAGGCCCCTCATCAGCGTTCAACGAAGGGCCCGGCGGCGGGCGGCAGCGAGGAGCCGTCGGAGCCGCCCTTCTCTCCCATCCTGGATGCCGCACCAGCGTGCGTGGGCAGCACCGAAGCAGGTGCGGCTGCACAGGAGCGCCGGTGACACGGCTCCACGGCCGAGGAGACAGTCACCACCGCGGGCCCAGAAAGCAGGGCCTGGAAGCCACGCGGGGCCTCCCGGGCCGGGCTCAGCAGCCT